TATACCTAGTCCTTTAATTTATTCAGAGCCTCACATCACCTAAGCTCATCTCTTAACCCACAGCTACTCCCCCGAGAGGAGTGGCGGAAATACGACGAACTCGAGGTTTTATTCGCCGTCACATATTACGGGCTGCTGTAGGTGTTACAGTTAAAACTCGTAATCGGTCAAAACCACTTTTGACTGCAAAATTGACCTTGGTCAATATCACTTTTGAATCATTTTTGCAGTAAAAAAAAGTACAAAACATTTTATTTAACCAACCGAACAAATTAATAATCTACTTAACTTTTACCTGATAAATACCTAGCAATATTACTGTTGTTGTAAGTTAGATGTGATCATTTTGTATACACAAATCATTAAAAAATTACACTAAGATGGTTTTTAACACATTTTTGATGATTTTCAAGGAATTTTCACTAATCACAACTTTATATGAATTTTGACTAGTTGGTAAAATTTTAAATCAGGCGAAAGCACTTTTGGCAAATTTTTTGCACTCAAAAGCAGTTTTGACGAACGCCCTTGGTCAAAACCACTTTTGACTGGAATAATCAGTCAAAAGTGATATTAGCTAAGGGCATCAGTCAAAATCACTTTTGACTGACTTTTGCAGTCACAAGTGGTTTTGACCGATTATGAGTTTTGACTGTAACATAGGTATGAGCGGCGATATACTTACGTGGACGTGCTATTGTGTAATTAACTCTAAGTGCGGGCTAAATGTTACAGTGTGAGGCAAGATGTTTAGGGGTTACGCCTTTGCTGATGTATTTTGTTTTTCTGTTAGGAGTGAATTGTGATTGAAGAATACGTGACTCGTGAGCGATTTAGTGCAGTTCCATTCAAAGTAAAAGAGTTGCGCTCTTCGGAATCTGAGGTCGTGGGTTTGATCTCAAGTTGGACTGTAAAATAATTATTGTATTTTTTTTTTTTCAAATCTACAAAACATAGGTCAAAATCGAATCAAAAAGTATTTATTTACTCACAGAGCTCTATTCAACGCTGTGCGTTCGATTTGATGCTTCACTTAACCCTTAATTTGGTAGACTCATTATTTATAAAAAAATAAAAATACATCGTCGTATTTATGTTCTTAGGGTTATTAATAGGTCAGAAAAAAATATATAAAAAATCGGAACTTCACCAAATATAAAAAAACAATGTTCATCCCAATGAACATTGCCAAATATATAGAGAATTGTAACTGTTCATTGGGGTGAACATTGCCAATTTAGGGTAGCGGCATTAAATTAAAACAATTATTCATATAAAAAGTAAAATTTATATTATTAAACGCTTTTTGGTGCACGAAATAGTAAGAAATTAACTATTACCATATAATTTTGTGTGATCGTTGAGGTACAACAATGTTTAAAGTTTTTAAAGAAAAAAATCATAATTTTTTGTTCATGTAACTTAAAAGTGGACAAGTCGCACAAAATAATAAAAAACAGCTCCCACATTTATAAAATATATTCTTCAGGGTTTAAATAAAAAAGTAAAAATGATTTTAATCAAAAATTTTCTTTGGAACTACAAACTTTGAATCTACAAACAACTGCTAAATTAAAATATGTAATTATTTTGCATGAAAATTTAGAACATAATTATGTCCACTTTTACAAGTAACAAAACATTATTCTGATATTACATTTCATGCAATATACAGTATCAAGATGCCAACAACCCAAACAAAATAAAAATTAACTCTAAATAAAGAAATTGGTCCACTGAAATAAAATTAAGCAAAAATAAACGTTTGATAGCCTATTTGACAACGTTCACTAGGATGAACAATCAAACATTGATAGTAATTTGGCAATGTTCACTGGGATGAACAATCAAACATTGATAGTAATTTGGCAATGTTCACTGGGATGAACACTCGACTTTGACCTGGTATAACATTTTTTTTTTTTTTTTTTTATGTGATAGGAGGCAAACGAGCAGACGGATCATAACGGACATGGCTTATTTATTAAATGAGCATTATAAATCACTCAAGTTATTGAGCATGAACACTATGCAATACGTTAAAACCACTGTCATTACTCAATTATAATAAAAAAACATGTAAAGCTTGAATAAACACCTTGACACTAAAGCCTGGTCTTCTCTATGTCGGCATTTTGGCTAAAATTAACACTTTCAGACTGTGGCTAGCACATAAAAATATTTTTCTACCAAAACTTAAGTATATTTTCTAGTGAAAAAAAAAACTTACCAGTAATTAAGACGTATGCACTCGGCATATTTTTTTTTTTAATTTAATGTTCATCCCAGTGAACAAAATCAAATGAAGGGTAAGCAAGCATCGTTTGTGAATATGGGTGTAAATTATTATTATTATGCTTGTGTTAGAAGTGGGCTCACCACAACAAAAGTTAAAACCAGCGTTTCGTGGTCTCGATTCGGCCAGTCTGGCACTGATACCATTAGGCGGTTATCGCTCTAAGTTAGACATATTTATAATCAATTTGAGTGGTGTTATTTACAGCAAAACCACAATACCTATATTATTCGTTACTCAATAGCTCAAATAATTAATTTAACGGAGTCTCCAGACTGTCACTAATTAACGGAAAATTCCCTAGTTAAGATTATTATAATTGCTTCTTTTATTTCAAACAATGTAGTAATTCTCAAAGGAAGGAGAAGAAAAAGAAAAATAAACGGATGTATTAGATTTCAAACAAAGCTACATTTTAATGATTTTCAGCATAAATTGAACTGACTTTATTTGTAGCCTATTCCTACACTATTAAGATGAAGTATCCTCATCATCATCAGTCATTTAGACTACCGCTTGAAAAGGTCATAATATCTGAACTGATCGCCTGAAAGCCTGTCTTATAATGCCTGATTTATTTTATTAAATTAAATTCTAAGCTTTGCTTAGTTTGGGACTAGAAGCGCAGTGTAAAATGTCTAAGGATATTTATTTATTATTATTCCTTTATTCATTTTTCTTTCTTATTTTTAATTTTTTCTTTTTACAATGTAATTATCAAAAAATAAAAATACATTATAAAAACAAAAATCTTAAAAATATTTAACCCGCTGGTATTATTATTATTAAATAAATATTAAATTGAGATTATCGGCGTTTAAAATCTGCTAGAAACAAAACCACTATCCAACACAGATCATGACAAAATCGTAACTAAAGCTTATCTACACAACCATGTACTCGTACCTTCCATAACTGATACATAACTCCAAAAAGCGTCCCGGTAATAACTCTATCATAGTACATAGACCAAACAGTTTTATAGATCCCGCCTGATATGGATCCAGATTACTCACAAATTTATTTGTTCACTGTGTCAATATTTGTGAAACTGGCAATAAAAGTCATACATTTTTTGCAAGTAGGATTTTTCATAAAGTGCTTTTACGCGACTCGTTAAACTCTACCACTGCTTAAGGATCAGGCACTGCAATAATATGGGCCAATGCTGAGAGGAAGTAGCGCAATAAATTCAGCATACGCAATTGCCGCCTGATTTGACTTCGAACTTCATTCCATTTTATTATCTCCCTCAAATCACAAACTACTGATGAAGCGCTTTTCTTTTCTCGGTTTTCTTTCCACATCTGTCATGTTTTTTTTATGTGACAGGAGGCAAACGAGCAGACGGATCACCTGATGATGATCAAATCTGAATCGGAATTTCATATTTCCCTTGGACTTTACCCCTTCCCCTTAGTCTTTATTGGGTAGGTTTTATTGATTACACAGGAGCTACATTGTAGGAATGAGTGGAAAGAGCACTCTTATGACTCGTATGCTGAGTGGGTGACTTTTTGTCAGAGGGGCACAAGCCAGGGTCCATTTGTGTATCTTTCATTGTACCTATGTCTTGTCTGCTGTATACCTTTCTTTCAAATAAAAACTATTCTATTCTTATGAGGGGTCTACGTATTAACGTTGTCTATGTCCATATATCAAGTGATATAACGAGCGTGTATCAAAGGAAATAATTAATGTTTCGAATCGTTAATATCTAGAACAGCCATTTATCAACAGCCATTAGTTAGCTGATAGTGTAGTGTGGGATAACTAATAAAGTTTGCATGCGTCTTAAATTTACGGGTTGCCGCGGGACTTTTGGTTGACGCATTAGTTAAACTGTAATTGCTGTAGTTTGCGGGTAGGTTTAAACATTCAAGGCCTCTGACGAGCTAGTGGAAATATAATTAGCTCGACTTCATGATAATAATATCATACGATTAGACGAACGGGTAATGGAGCTGTCTGAACGGGGAATAGAGGTGTGGTGGCTATCCGCCACAATCGTAACTTGGACCACCGCCTTAGATCACGCAGCCGCTCTAAACCAAGACAACCACCGCCTGACCATCCACACTGCTTCTACCACTACACCTACGGTACGAAGGCGAAGAAGTGTAAGCAGCCTTGCAGCTTCCCCTCGGAAAACTTCAAGGGCGGTCGGAAGTAGCGGCCCACGACTGCCCCTCTGCAACAGGCCGTCTTTTCGTTACGGATCGCACATCGAAAATGCAGTTCCTCGTGGACACTGGCTCAGACCTGTGTGTTTTCCCGCGATCTGCTATCAAGACGCCCTGTACTAAGACCAAGTATGATCTCGTCGCAGCGAACAACTCTGTCATTCACACTTATGGACCTGCACTGTTACACCTGAACTTGGGACTCAGGCGAGATTTTACTTGGAACTTCATCATAGCAGACGTTTCGAAGCCAATCATCGGTGTGGACTTCCTGAGCCACTACAATTTGCTTGTGGACTGCAGAAATCAACGTTTGGTCGATGGAATCACAACCCTGTCCGTAGCAGCTGTTACTTCTGGAACCTCAGACGATGGTTGGTGCGCGCCATCTCCGCACCACAGCCTACCACCCAGCGGCCAACGGTATCGTTGAGCGACTCCACCGCCAGCTCAAGGCAGCGATCATGTGCCACGCTCCAGCTTCACAGTGGACTGAAGCACTGCCACTGGTTCTTCTAGGCATGCGTAGTGCCTGGAAGGAAGACCTCCAGTCTTCCCCTGCCGAACTGGTGTACGGCGAAGCACTTCGTCTACCCGGTCAGTTCCTGTGCCCCAAGGACGACTTCCTCACAGCTGACGTCACCCAGTACGCGACTCGTCTTCGCGCGTGCATGGCGAAGCTTGCTCCTCGTCCTACCACCTGGCACTCCACTTCGGCCTTCTACGTTCCGCGCGATCTCCACACCTCTTCCCACGTCTTCGTTCGTCAAGATCGCGTGAGAGGCGCCCTGGAGCCGCCATACGCTGGCCCCTACAAGGTTCTCAGCCGACAACCTAAATACTTCACCTTGGACGTCAACGCCAAGAATGTCAATGTCTCCATTGACCGGCTCAAGGCAGCGTATGAGTCTAAAGAAGTTCAGAAGACGGCTCAACCAGCCGAAGAAGACGTCGTGCGGACTTCCAGTGGTCGAAGAGTCCGGCTGCCCGATTTTTATCGACCGTAGTCACGGTCTGCGGAGGGGAGTACTGTGGTGGCTATCCGCCACAATCGTAACTTGGACCACCGCCTTAGATTTCGGAGCGATCCGCTTCCGCCTATGAATTGGACCAGCCCCGACCTGTCTGAACGTGACCGAATGGTTGGCGCATGCGTGCTGCGGCCGTCACAATACATCTGCGTCACTCGCACACCCGTGAAGACGTATGCTGCCGTCTCGCTTCAACGCCGGTCACCGTTCTCCGATCACTCATCGCCGTTGAAGAGATTTGAAATATGTCGTCGTGACACTTCTTCCGCGATCGCTTTGCTCTTAAGATTTAAATAATTTTATTGCTATTGTATCCTAATCAATCCCTTGCTATTCCTGTTGTTAAATATAATTTCCAATCCGCTAATAACATTCTTCCTTCCACCGTGTTCTTCCTACCTTTATTTCCTGACTCGAACTGCCTAACAATAATCTTAACGATTAAGAATCGGAATAGGATTCCGAGGAAAACATATGGTGGGTTGTTGGCAAATAACCCCCATAGAGGTATATGGTAAATGTGGGTGCATTGTTCAAATAAATAAATAAATAAATAAATAAATTATAACAGAACGAAGCTCAAAGCTTTTAAGCTGCTGCTGTCTTTCCCGAAGACTATAATCCGGGTCATTTCAAGACGAAAGTGAATAGGCACTAGATGTGTACCATCCTAGACTGCATCCCACTTAACATCAGGTGCGATTGTGTCCTTGTTATGCATTAAAAAACGCTGAAAGTTCAATTCTATCTGATGCCTAAGCTTGAGTCTCAATTGAGGGTTTTGATTGGTTGATTTTAAATATTAAAAAAATCCCAGAATAGTCATTGAGATTGAATCGAGTTTTAAGAGAGTACGGACTGCAGTGAAAGATAAGATAAGGGCAGTGGTTGATTTGAAACGTTATTGCTAAAGAAATAAAATTCTAAATCCTTTGAAAAAATTCCTCACTTTGTGGTAAGTTTTTCATTATAATTACACTCTATCTATTCTATTTAACAATAATCATATTGTAGGTAAATCTATAGAATTGTGAAATATTTATTCTCACCGGTGAAGGACTTTGTTCTTTTTTGCTAAGATATAGTAATGCAAGGTTTTAGATCATACCGAGTATCCTTCATACATCATTCGGGAGACCTACGCTTAATCCACTTGCGCTTACACAAAGTCAAAGTTATTCAGTAGAACCATAGATATTGAGAATCAGATAAATTTTTAACAGTAGGTATACTTAGTAATCCAGTAATAGTAAGTTAACTGGTAGAGAATGCCACACGACATTAAATTCGCCTTTTATAGCGATTTTAAATTAATAAAAAAATAGTTTCTCTTAAGCTTCAACCACACCGACGCGTGCAGATCGCCATCGCTGGCGCGATCACGGCGCGATCATAGGCCAATGACAGGTCGCGTGAACATAGGTCGCACGACCTATCATTGGCGACCTAGCGATGGCGATCTGAACGCGTTGGTGTGGTTGAAGCTTTAGTAAATAAACGATTTGAATTTGAATAGTATTAATTCAATATTGTGTGTGAGTGAGGAAGTTAGTAGTTCCATTTCTGTTCGAGTCAATTTCATCTTAAACTCATCTCATACATACTTTGTTTACTTTTAAGTATGTTTATATCCGTTGTCTAGTACCCATAGTACAAGCTTTGCTTAGTTTGGGACTAGCGGCGCAGTGTAAAAATGTCCAAGGATATTTATTTTTATTTTATTATTTTTCTGAAGTTGAGAAGTGTATCATCATACAAAAGTGACTTTCCTTATTTTTTTCCAGATTGGCCGGTTGGCAGCGGCCTGCATCCAGAGCCTTTCTGCAACTTTGGCGCTACTTATGAAAGGTGAATCTACTTCATTAATTTCTATTACACCGCTAAGTATACTTGTGAGATATGACGTCATCAGTCACGGAGAGTGTCCCGTGTGATACTGGCTGTGACGACTCGTGTTATAGGTATAATTCGGTAAGCGTGCTAAAACTCCAAGCCTGTTATATTAATTTTATTAAGCTCTGTTATCAGTGCAGAAGGGCGTATCGCTCACTCTTTTGAGTCTTAACCGCTCCCACTCTAACACCCTTATTCACAAACGATGCTTACCTTAGTAAATTAAACGCATAGCGTTGAATAGAGCTCTGTGATTGGTTCGTGGGTGACTCTGTGCGACCTAATAGTAATGTTTGTGAATACGGGCGTAACTAGAGTTAGATTTTTGTTGATTTGGTGTATAATTAATATCGAAGGTTGTCCAGTTGCCGGAAGAAAAAATATTTAAAAATTCAATTCGGCGACTTGGCCCGTGGACCAAGCTAAAAGTGGGCTAAGTTGCTGGTAGACTTTTTTATAACTAAACACTAAATACTGGAATTCACTGCCTGCTGATATCTTTCCTAGAAATGGAATAAATCATTTTACTATGAATCAATTACAGTTACACTATTCTCGCAATATTAACACTCATTGATAAAGTGCAATATTATTTCTACGGCTTATAGATTTATTGGGCATTAACTACTATTATGTTCGTTTAGTAAATAACGTTTTGTTCGTTACGACATGATTATGCAAATGTATTCAAAATAAATCAGAAATTCCGACATACTGCAATTTCGAAACGCAAATTTTATCTATTTGGCCGAAAGATAATCGCAGTTTGTTGTCATTACGGTTTATTAATCGAAAAGTTATTAATGAGCTAGATTTTAATATGAGCCCGATTAAACAACGTTCGTTGTTTTGTAGGCACTTTTTGGTTTGCAATTTGCGTTTGTTTTATTGGATGAATTACTATTATTTTAATACACATTGAAATAAGAATGAACGGACAAAATATTTCATTTCTGAAACTTTCAGTTTTTGTAAATCTAATTACTTACTGCAATACTTCTTAAAGTTATTGATAACTTCATCATCATCATCATTTCAGCCACAGTATGTCCACTGCTGAACATAGGACTTTCCAAATGATTTCAATCATGACCGGTTGGTAGCTGCCTGCATCCAGCGCCTTCCTTTATAAGGTCGTCTGTCCATCTTGTGGATTGGACGTCCCACGCTATGTTTTCCAGTAAGTGGCTTCCATTCCAGAACCTTGCTGCCCCATCGGCCCATCGGCCATCAGTTCAGCTTCAGCGTACTATATGCCCTGCCCATTGGTTACTTGTATTTGTTATCATTGAATATCCTCAGCTTCACACGTCCATCACGGAACAGCGAAAGATTTTTCCAAATAGTAGCGAAAATTTACCCCTCTTTATAACATTAAAAGAGATGTATTCTGATCCTTATCTACAGTGTAATAAGGCCGTCAAAGTCTATTAAGTCGTTTCCTCTCAAGTAAGCTGCACACACGTACATCCAGTTAGGGCTACGGGTAAGGACTCTTTCCCATTGTGACATCCCGTTTTTGGTTACTGTTTTTTGCAGGATACTATTTAGTAGTGTAGGTACGTGCTTTATACCAAACACTAGCTTTCCGCCCGCGTGGAGTTTGGTTTGTGACAGAAAAACTTTATTGCGCGCATCCCTGTTTCAAAAACCGGGATAAAACTATCCTATGTCCTTTCCCGGGACTCAAACTATCTCTATGCCAAATTTCATCAAAGTCGGTTCAGTGGTTTAGGCGTGAAAGCAAGACAGACAGACAGAGTTACTTTCGCATTTGTAGATTCACACGAACATCACGTTTGTAGAGTCCCGCAAAAAACCGACTATTTGGTGTTTTGTTGGTTTTGTCTAAAAAAACGACTTTTGTAAAATTACTATGTCTGAACCAAATAAACAATTTTTTTTCTTTCTTTCTTTCATTTGAATTACAAGCATTTTTTGTTTATAAAAGTGTTTCACTAGCAGCTTCCTGCATTTATTGCAAACACCCGTACCTTAAAAAACCGAACCTGAAAAAACAGGATACTTACTGCCATAAGAACACATAATTTTGCGGGATCCAGTTTATACTAGATCCCTCAAACTGGATTTTCGTGAGGAAGGGCCCTAAGCTACGCACACGTACATCCAGTTAGGGCTCCGAGTAACGCGCCTAAAAGCACGTCATCGCCCAAGATTTATGTGGCAAGGTGAGGCACCCCTCAAGCGGGGCGAAACCCTACGAGAGTTTGTACTTTGATTTTCTTAGTATTATTACTCTTAAACTAAAAAGTACGATATAAAATCGGTCTTAAATGACGTTAAGGTAAGTTTTTATTTGCTAGTGATTTGTAGCTGTATTTTTCCTATAAATAAGTTTTAGTCTATGTACAATTTTCTATTTTTTTTAAATCTAATGTACTGTAACTGCTTTCATAAAATAAAAATAAAATTATAATATACCTACGAAGGTCAAAACTCAAATCAATTTTATAATATTTAGATCAATCATAAATACTCGTACAGTCAGCATCAAATAATTGACACCCAAAGTAGCCAAAAAGTTCGCAAAACGTCTTTATTACAATTGGAATAAGGTTGTATTGTCAACTTTTTGGCCACTTTTGGCCGAACTACATATTTGAAGCTGACTGTACTATTTACATAGCTCTGCTCTACTTAATTTCGGACAATTAAAAAAGGTTTCGTAAACATTTTTTTTTCTTTCTTTTGAACCGAAGGCACCAAAAAGTTATTATGAGAAAACTCATCAGCTAAGCGACTAGACCTATGTCCCGGGGCTGTCGCAATATCCTGTGGGGCAAGTCGTTTGGGACAAGTCGAAGCAACTATTAACAGAGCCAAACAACATACGGATGTGTTTGAACAAAAATGGATTTAGAACAGCTTACTTTGATATTATGCTGTCGCCAAAAAGAGTGATACAAAGATGTGGATAAAAACGATCTTCCTTTGTTTTCGATTCGATCCACAAGGTAGATAGGATAGATAGATTCTACTCGTAAGATAACCATAATAAGGTAATTTATAAATAAGGGTTGCAGAAAGGCGTTTATGCAGACCGTTTCCAATCGGGCAATCTA